ACATGTTATGGATGAAGTAAAAACGTAACCAAGGAAACCGTAGCTACGTCTTAACTGCTGACATAGTTTGTGTTGAAACTCAGTGTACAACGTAACGAGTTACATGTTATGGATGAAGTAAAAACGTAACCAAGGAAACCGTAGCTACGTCTTAACTGCTGACATAGTTTGTGTTGAAACTCAGTGTACAACGTAACGAGTTACATGTTGTGGATCAAGTAAAAACGTAACCAAGGAAACCGTAGCTACGTCTTAACTACGTTAGATGTAACCATGGCACAGTGTACAATGTAACCATGAAAATTATGTAACGTTTGCTACTGTCATTGTTGTGAAGATGGAGATGAAGAAACAATGTGTCCAAGTAAACTGAAAGTTATGCTTTAATATAGTAATAAAAGTAACAGTTAAAAAGTTTGTGAAGACAACGTGAGACTGAAGAGGACACAAGGATGTTTCAAAACTAATTTCTCTAATCTCAAGTTTTCTGATAGTTTGTTCCATTTACTTTAGTTTTATTTTTTCACTAGCTTTTTTATGCTTTAAAATTTAAAATATTATTTTTCAGGTCGATTTTTAGCTTAAAAAATATAATAGTTTTGGTGTAATCCAAATAGATAAGCAATATAAGTACAATGGTTCTATAAAAAGTAGATAAAGGTTTTGTTTGGCATGATAGCTCATTTGTTTTTGTTTTTGAATTTCGCGCAAAGCTACACGAGAGCTATCTGCGCTAGCCGTCCCTAATTTAGCAGTGTAAGACTAGAGGGAAGGCAGCTAGTCATCACCACCCACCGCCAACTCTTGGGCTACTCTTTTACCAACGAGTAGTGGGATTGACAGTCACTTTATAACGCCCCCACGGCTGAAAGGGCGAGCATGTTTGGTGTGACAGGGCTTCGAACCCGCGACCCTCAGATTGTGAGTCGAGTGCCTTAACCACCTGGCCATGTCGGGCCAGTTCCGAGAAAGAAACAAACTATCAAAACAGCGTGGTTATATTTTACTGGTTTATTATTTAAGGGCGTATTTAACTAAGTGTAGTTTCGGGTACATATTTATTCCTCTTAATATTCACAGAACATTTATTTAAAACGGATTTTTAACTACAATAAAGAATAGGCTGATGGTTTTTTTTATTTTTTAAGGAAATGGACTAGAACTGAAGGTTGTTATTATCCTTGAGACCACACGAACATTGACATGGTTTATTTTAGCAATATAATATCGCCTGTTATTACTATAACTATACTAACCACTTACATCATTCAGGGCGTTTAGAAACAGTTAGGAATACACTAGAGAGTATGAAAACATGTGGCAGATTTCTAATCTAACTATTCATTTGTCTTATGCATCATTAATTGTGGTTTAAATTTAGCTTTCTCTGACGTTGTAGTATTATGATTAGTAAATTTATCTTTCTCTGACGTTCTAGTATTATGATTAGTGAAGTTATCTTTCTCTGACGTTCTAGTATTATGATAAGTGAAGTTATCTTTCTCTGACGTTCTAGTATTATGATAAGTGAAGTTATCTTTCTCTGACGTTGTAGTATTATGATAAGTGAAGTTATCTTCTTTAACGTTCTAGTATTATGATTAGTGAAGTTATCTTTCTCTGAGTGTTGTAGTATTATGATAAGTGAAGTTATCTTTCTCTGACGTTGTAGTATTATGATAAGTAAATTTATCTTTCTCTAACGTTCTAGTA